TTGTAGACATATTAGAAGCAATACAATTTATTAATAAATTATATTGCTTCTAATATGTCTACAACTCATAGCTGTTTTATATTGCTGTCTTTCTATATTTTTTATTTATCGAAGCAAACGTGGAATCTTCATTTTTTAATATGCTAATATATATATATATATATATGTCTCTTATACATATATATATATATATATATACATATATATACATATATATATATATTTATATATAATCTGCAAAGTAGACTGAAGTTATTTGTATAAAACTATCTCCTTGCTTGTCATTTGAAGTAAATAATTATATAAATAACAATATATAAGCAAGTAGATCAATAACAATACTGCTCGAATAGGAACTTTAGTATGATGTTATAATCGTATCAAGCATATAAATCTTTAACGAAAAATACTTTTTTTAGCTGTATAAAAAGTGCATTTGGCTCGGGATTTCAACCTACAACCACGTACTCGTTACAAGGCGACCGAGTATCATACCATCAGAGACCTAATGATATGCAGTAGGGTGCAGCCCATACAATAGTCTAATTTAGATATTACCTACTATTTTCAGCTGTACCCCATTATCAAGTTCTCCCTATCCTTAGCTACACTATGTGTGAGCGCAAAAGTCAGTTTTCTTGGCCAATATTGATAAAAATAATTTTAAAAATGAAAAAGTTTACTTTGTGCAATATTTAGAATACATTTATAAAGAGGATGTAGTAGAAAATAGATAGGCAAGACATTGTCAGAAAGCGTGTCGGTCTTACCTCCGATGATAACAAGGAACAAAAGGGTTGAAGTCTTCATGATTCGTGGTTGATGATTGGATTTTTACGCTGATTTACTGAAGTTATCTTGGCGATCAGTGGAGTGTTGTACGGTACATCGCAACTTTCCTCAAACTTTTATAAGAAAGTTACCAAGGACAAGTATTCTGTGATCCTTATGAGTTAATCTTATAATCTTTAACAAGACGTCACAGTGTTTTACATACACTCTTCATATTAATACAATAATTCATTTAGTTAAACCAAGGAGGTATTAGAACGCCTCACTGGCTAAAAACTTTAAGTGAACACATGGGCACATATTTGTAATCACAACTGTAAGCGGGAGATGGAGCTTGGTGATCAAGATTTTAAGTTATTGATCAGGAAGCCAAGTGGCTTATTTAGCATTAGGGCACACTTCTGTGACAAACCACACATGACCATCATAAAACTTGTCAATAATGCTTATCGAATAGAAAATCTCGATTTGTTGTTTTGTTTTTCTTCCAAGTATAAACAATTTTTTCTTCAAAATATTGATGAGCACTTAAGTATTATTAAGATCACCATATCTGCCATTGTTCCTGCTTCTTGCACCGGAGGCCCCTGTTCAAACCTGACTAATATCGAATTTTGATTATAACAGTCGGATTACTGAAACTTGAATGGATCGCTCCACTTGTATAACCCTTACATGAAAGTTTTTAGGGATAAGAGACATCTGTTACATGTCGGTACAGGCGCTACAGTGGGTCCCTAGTCAGAGCCATAGATAGAGAGAGTTTGGCCAACTTGGCGCATGGGCGCCATGTTGTCACCAAACAACGTGCGCGCGTATAGCTTTATAACATTTTATAAAACACTGATGCTGCATAAACTTTCTTTCATTATTCTGTTCATGAGGACAATTCAATTATGGGATTTTAACATATCATTGTAAATATCATATACTGTATAATCATATTTACCTAACTTTGGAATTAATAAATCAGTGACGTGCTGTATTATTTCGAGAAGATAAAGTGAGGACGATTCTTTATTTTTTTTCCGTTACGATTATCTTTTTGTTTTGAAAGTCTATCGTCTAGGCCTAGGGCTATACCTAGTTGCTAGCAGCCTACGGTACTTTATATAGCATGAGGCTCCGAAAGAGTCAACACTGCAGAGGAGAAAGGTTGGTTGTGCAGACAGAGAAGTTTGTGAATCGTCGGCGATAATAATATGTTATTTCGCCTGTAAATGAATGATAAAAATATTAATAACATGAAAGTTTTCTAATTGTATCTAGGCCTCTAGGTCTATGACTTCGTAAACTTTAATTTATGAAATAAAATATGCTGGTCATCTTCAAACCAACAAATAGCCTAGGCCTATTTGTAAATTGTAATCTAAACAATAAATCAAAGTTGAAGAATTATTGCATTGAGAAACATTTTTGTACAACATATGCCTAATCATTCATAATCAAGAAGCTAGGCCGTGTAAGTAAAATAGCAGCATTCTTCACATTTCTGTTTATAATATTGGTGAGTTATAATATTATCATTATTACTGTATTTACTATTATTATTTATTATTTAATTATTATTATTGTTATTATTATTTATTATTCATTATTTACTATTCA